TACATTGACCTATTTAAAGTCGTTGTTCAAGGCTATAGCGAGCTGTATCGTGTCGGTGCTTGAAGTTTCTGTGACAGAGATATCATGGCAACATTTTAGTCAAAGCAGTTCATGAACAAGTCAATGTTTATTGTCTCCTAATATAGAATCTAAATACAGATATCTTTCACAACACAGTCAATTTAGTCAGTAATACTCATGAGGAATCAGTATCATCACTTGTGGAATTTTGGAATCAAATGTAACAGTTTCTGTCCCTCCCATCCTCGACACAGTTGAGATAATGTAGATGACAAGTGTTCTCGACCCGCTGGTGGGCACGACCTAGACTGAGAGGGATACAACATCCCAGCAGACAGAGAGGGATACAACATCCCAGCAGACAGATAGGGAGGGATACAACGCCCCAGCAGACAGACAGAGGGATACAACATCCCAGCAGACAGAGAGGGATGCAACATCCCAGCAGACAGATAGGGAGGGATACAACGCCCCAGCAGACAGACAGAGGGATACAACATCCCAGCAGACAGATAGGGAGGGATACAACGTCCCAGCAGACAGATAGGGATACAACATCCCAGCAGACAGATAGGGCGGGATACAACATCCCAGCAGACAGACAGAGGGATACAACATCCCAGCAGACAGACAGATCTATATAGAGATACAACATCCCAGCAGACAGACAGATAGGAATACAACATCCCACAGACAGACAGACAGGGATACAACATCCCAACAGACAGACAGAGGGATACAACGTCCCAGCAGACAGAGAGGGATACAACATCCCAGCAAACAGACAGATAGGGATACAACATCCCAGCAGACAGATAGGGATACAACATCCCAGCAGACAGATAGGGATACAACATCCCAGCAGACAGATAAGGATATTGGACACAGAATCTCCCTGAACTTGACCATCAATGATTTATTTCTAGAGGCACCAGCCATCCATGTCCAGGTGCTGTTTTAGCCTAAACACAGAATCTCCACACTCAGGAATCAACACCATGTCTCCTGCCTGCACCACCTGAGAGCTCACCCCTGCCCGTTACGTCACAGGTGTGCACTCATCTAAGTCGAAGGGAACGTTGTCAGATAATTGGTGTGAACAGAAAGACCCAAGATACAGTCTAGCAAGCACACAGCGAAACCGTAATGGCGTGAAAATCTTTTCGTTCTAAATTACATGTATATGAATTTCGTTATGTACAAGTTATAAAAGCAAAGAACATAATGTGTAGAGAAAAATTCAGGACTTGAAAATGTTTTTGCTATGTGTGCGCTGGCTACGTGTGTGTTCGCTATGTGTGTCATTGCTATGTGTGTGTTCTCTATGTACGTGTTTGCTATGTATGTGTTCGCTGTGTGTGTGTTTGCTACATGCATGTGTGTGTGTTCGCTGTGTGTGTGTGTTCGCTATGTGTGTGCTAGGCTGTACAGATCTATGTTATGTACAGAGGAATTTTTGCGTCCAAATCTCAGCTTTTGACACAGCAATAGATTTTGCCGACCACTCCTTTCCCTCGTAAAGTGTTGAAGTTAACGTCTGCTGAAGGACTTGTGTGGCGGAAGAAAAATCCCGCGAACGGGTTTATGACGCCAAAGTAAAGAATTTGTGATGTGCAACAAAAAAAA